ATCACTCTTAAGCCCAAAATGAAAAATAAAACAAAACGTGTGGGCTATCATTTCACGTAATGGGCTTTCATGTAAATGATTGGGTTAAAATATTAATCGTGTCTATTTTTTTAGTTTTTTTGTAATGGGCCAAACCTAAATAAAATTAGGCCATAGGTACGGGCATTACACTGTTAGTTGGTATGAATTGATTAACTAAAGTGGGTTAAGTCTTGTTACATTTGAAGAATATTTCCAAAGACTAGTCTTTTGACTTTTTTAACCTGTAATTCTATCATTTGGCTCTATCATAGACTATTAAAGCTCTAATTACAAGCAAAAGCAAATAACCATTTTAAAATCGATGATATGTCCAGTTTAGAGCCTTTTATCGAAACAAGATGAAATTAGCTTTGGAATACAACAACTGCCTGCTAAATGCCATCGTTCAACATCATACTGCCACCGGTTACTATACACGTAAAACCTCAAAACTACCCACACATTTGTTACAAGTATATTAACTCACCCTTAAAACTGACTTGTAAAAGGAGTGCCCCACTGGCATGCTTTCCATGAACGATGTAGGACGCACAAACAATCACTACATTCACCCCTCCCCAAAACAAACATGGCAGTTCATTTTCTCCGGCTGGGTAGTTCATAGAACCAATATTCAACTGAAAGTAGCCCTCTCTGGATCAATGTGTCCTCGACGAGGATCCTCCAAGAAGGGGTGTTTGCTCAGACGTAGCACATTGGGTAGAAGCCACTGTTAACATTGGCCTGTAATGGGAAGGTGCCCAATTTGCTTATAAGCTCACTAGATAGACATTCCGTGATAAATTTTGACCGCATCTTGTTACTGAGGTGTCAACTTGTGACATGACCATCTTTTGTGTATTGAATTCTGCTCAACTTGGTAAAGTATTAGAAAGTCAACCAAGTTATGGACTTCAAATTGGGGGGGCCTTTTCTGGATTCAGGCCAATTGTAGTCCGGTTCAGGAACATGAACTGAATACGAGAATGATTTGGCTGACAGAAGTGCATTAACATCAACATAAATCATAAGAACAGTGGTTAAATCTGCAAGTTTTTTACTACAACCCTTGTACAAATAAAAATGCATTCAATTTTTACATTCATATTCTCATCTGTTCTCAAGATAGCTTATGCTTTATTTGTTTAGATTAATACTTTAAGATATTGATTCATGTTGAAGGAATATATATTCAAATACTTTGAGTTCTTGAATTAGATATTGATACAACTTTCAAAAGTAACAATTCTCTTTTCATGTGTTGCACGTATTTTTTCCTTAGGTTTATTTTCTTACCTGACGAGGAAATGGTACTAATCAATTTTCAGGAGAAAAATTTACTGATGTGGTGGGCAGTCCATATTATGTTGCGCCAGAAGTTCTTAAAAAGCGCTATGGGGTTGAAGCCGATGTTTGGAGTGCTGGAGTAATTGTTTATATCTTGCTCAGTGGAGTTCCTCCTTTCTGGGCCGGTGAGAATTGTGAAAGTTTCTATTCACTGAATTATGTCAACGTCATGGCTTCATCTGACTATTAGTGCATGTTTTATATACCGTATTAAACTGTTTTGGATAGTAGTATGAACAAGATTTTAGCCTCTTTTCCCTTCTTAATATTGTTTAGTACTATTCAACACCTTACCAAACATTACATTAATGTCATAATTTGTACTGATATGAGTGTAGCCTCTCTATTCTTTAATGACTATAGAAAATGAGCAAGGAATATTTGAACAAGTCCTGCATGGCGAACTGGACTTTGCATCAGATCCCTGGCCAAATATATCAGAAGAGGCAAAAGATTTGGTTAGGAGAATGCTTGTTCGAGACCCCAAACGGCGTTTAACTGCACATGAAGTCCTGTGTAAGTATCTCTGATGGAATTGTTTTAAATTATTTTGTATATGGAGAGTTGCTTGATTCAAGTTGGAAGAGAGTTGGGGTGCAAAAAACTTTGACCAAATAAGTTGGTGTTCTATTTTTGTTTTTGAGACCACTATTCCAAATCTAAATTCTGAAATATGCAATTTTTGCTAATAATTGTGTTGATGCATTATTGGATCCCTGAGGCGTTCTGGGTGAAGGTCATAATGTCAATAATCTATTGTAATGGGTTCTCTCTTTCTGTGGGGCACAATATGTACTTCAATTTTTGCTTACCCGATGCTTAAACGTTCTGCAGGCCACCCTTGGGTTCAAGTTGATGGTGTGGCTCCTGACAAGCCTCTGGACTCTGCAGTTTTGAGTCGCATGAAACAATTTTCGGCGATGAACAGACTTAAGAAAATGGCTCTTAGAGTAAGTCTTGGGGTTTTAAATCTATATTTTCTGCTATTGGAGAAGTATAGGTCTTACAAAGATATTTAGTTATATATTTACAAATTTAGATGTAAGAAAATGGAGCATGTAATATATTAGATACACATACTTTGCAGGTAATTGCAGAGTCCTTATCGGAAGAAGAAATTGCTGGCCTGAAAGAAATGTTCAAGATGATAGACACTGATAACAGCGGCCATATCACTTTTGAAGAACTCAAAACAGGACTGAAGAGAGTCGGTGCCAATCTGAACGAGTCCGAGATTTATGATCTAATGCAAGCAGTAAGTACCTGATCAAATGTATGGCTTCTGTCCTCTTTGAGTGCTTGCCCAAATTTTTGTACCACTTAAGAGAGCATCTTCAAGAGACTCTACATACAAGATGTTCTCTATTTTAAAGAGTCAATGCTTAAAAATAAACTCCAAGAGACTTTATTTTAACTTTTTAAAATAAAGAGTAAGTTTGGCTTTACAAATTTCAATACTCTACTTCTTAAAATATTCTAATCGTATTTGATTTGATTGACCATTGATATATAAAAAATATGTTAAATAAAAGATGAGGAGAAATCAATAAGCACTTGTTTGAGCCTCATTTTTTGCCCAAGATGCATTTTGGAATAGTATTTTGACGGAGAATGTGTGGTTAAAAAATATGAAAATGTTTTGGATTTACGTGTAATATTATTTTATTGAAGAATGTGGTTGAAAATAAGGGAGAAAAAAAATGTATTTTGGATATAATGGGGACCAAACGAGGGTTAAATGTTTTTTGAAGCAAAATAAAGAGTCAAAATAGAGAACATTGTTGAAGTGTATTAAAAATTTTAATCTCTGTATTATACATAAGATGCTCTTTATGAATAGTCTCTTGAGATGATCTAAGAAAGATGTTATACTTCATTTGACATCAATAGCAACAGCTAGCTTTGGAACATGAATCTTTCTTTGCCATTCTGCCCTTTAACGGCCTAACACTCAGAATCACGAAGCGTTCCCGGTCTAATAACTATTCTGTAGAACTTGCTTTTAACACTAATGAAATGTTCCCATTACATAGAAGTAGCAACTTCTGTTTCAACCAACTTGTTCTTATCCTCTACATTACATTCTCTTCATAAGTGTTTCTTTTATTTCATTGCCCACAGTAGAAAGAGGATACTATAACTTCGTTTACCGCTCCAATTCCTTGTAATTGCAGGCCGATGTTGATAGCAGTGGAACCATTGATTACGGGGAGTTTGTAGCTGCCACATTGCATCTCAACAAAATTGAGAGAGATGATCATTTATTTGCTGCATTCTCATACTTCGATAAAGATGGAAGTGGCTATATTACCCCAGATGAACTTCAACAAGCATGTGAGGAGTTTGGCATGGAGGATTCCCGCATTGAAGAGATGATCCGAGAAGTTGACCAGGACAATGTAAGTTCACCCTTTTGCAATATTTTGATGTTTTATGGTTTAATAACAAGAAAGAGGGCATCAAGTTCTAAGCCTCAGGTAGCTTTTTACGATATGACGATGAGCCTAATATCTAACAATAAAGGAGGAAAAATTCTACTATGCTTTTGGATGACAAACTCAGCGACATTTTTTATTACAATTGATCTTTGTTATAGTTTTTCTTTATAAATGCATCATATGTAGTTTAATGTTTAGAACACATGACAAGATTCTTTCGATTTCTTTTGCAGGATGGACGTATTGATTACAACGAGTTTGTTTGCATGATGCAGAAAGGGATTCCAATTTCTGGTGGTGGTAAGCGAGGCCTAGAGACTATTTCAAGCATGAATTTCAAAGATGTGCTTAAACTTTAACACGGGATTTCAGGAATTTTTTGTTCCTTAATTCTTTTCATTTTCGGTTTCTTCCTCGTCCTATTGAAGAGGTTATGATGTTAGAATGGTATAGTAAGAAGCCCTCGTGGTTAATTCTTGCATTACAAAATACACTTTTCATTTGTGTTTCTCACCGTTGTAATGTGAAGACAACACAAAAACTAATTTTTGCTGTTAAAAGTCATTTTTTTGGCGTGGAGCAGTTGGATTTTGATCTAGCGTGACAACCTTCCTGGTTCGAGGAAGATCGAAGAATAAATTATCACTTGAAGGGACGTAAAGACCTTTGGCGTAAAAGTCGAGCAATAAAAATATATTCCACTTAATACATGAAAGTAGCATCGAGCGATAAATTCTAGTTTTAGCCAAGTGGTTTTCAATGCTGAATACCAAACATGCCATGCAAGTATGAGAAATAAATTTACAAGCACATCTAATTCACGTCCGAGAAAGAAACCCAAAATCAAGTTGTGCAATATGTTTTTCCATAAACACGAAAAATATGTCATGGTTTTACCTTGACAAATAACTGCAGTCCATATAAAAAACACGTCAACTGGAAGAAACAAAGATTTAGGTTTCAAGAAAGTTACACCAGTAGTTTTCAGACGAGAAAGAACTTCTAATGAATCATCAAGGTAAAAAAGATTAAAGACGGTATAATTAACATAAGAAACTACAGGTCTGAAAAGAGGACGTCGAACCAAAATTGACAATACCTTGATGGTATATTTGTTCTGATCTGTTACGGTTTTAGCAAGTATCTTCCAGACTATAAGCGGCAATTTTGAATTTGTCGGAAATAAGATCCTTATTAAGAACGACCACTCGCATTGTTGTAAACTCGACCCTGAGGATATGGGACCCGTCCTTCAGTTCCTCGGTTTCCTCCCACACCGGGAAATGGTGATTGGCTATAAGAGTTAATACGATCCATGTGACCAGTTGGATATGGTTGTGGAGGGACAGCCGGAACATGACCATGAGGGTTGTTGGGGCCGGTTCTGTCCAGGAGATAGTTCATTCCAGCTTGCTGATACTGTTGTAGTCTTGCCTGTGACTCCCTGCGAAGAAACTCTTCTCTTCGATTAGCTTGTTGTGCTCGAAGAACTGATAATTTCTCCTGGTACTTGTTATTGATCTCCATTATCTTCTGAAGAAGGTAAGACATTGTAATGTTGGTAAGATAAAATTAAAATAAATGTACTTCATCATGATAGAAAAAATATATCAGAAACGTTTGTTTTAACTTTTTAGTTAATTTAGTGCAGAGTGCAGATAAATATGTTTTCTTGGTTCGGGTGGTCAATAGAGGTGGTTAACGGGAGTTCAATAGTAAGATGCCGTCGATGAGAGATTGAGTGAACATGTGGCATTTATCAACTTTGAAATGAGAGATTAAAGAGACCGCTCTTAGGTGCTCCCACTTAATTAACGTGTCGTAGATAAACATGGCATTGTTATATTTTTGCCTTTCATGCAGTCACTAGATGGGAAAAACAGCAACTAGAAAAAGCTAGCAGCTGCATACGACAAACGTTTTTTTGTCATATCAAATTAGAGTAATGCCATTTGTACATAATTGTATATATAATGATGTAAAGATAGATGGCATGGAAGAAAGAAAAAGATTATAATAACTGAATATATTTATTTTTCTTTTCTTTCGCTTCCTTCCATTCCATCTATCTGTATGTACACAACGATGTACAAATAGCACTACTCATCAAATTATATGCAATCTCTAGATGTTCCTAGGAGGAATTTTAAACTGCAGAAAGCTATTCAGTTCATCTTCACTAGAACAAATCAAAATAGCTTTCCATAAAATATTCTCATATAGCAGAATAACAAGAATTACTATGGGCGAGAGAAGAGAAGGAGGGGGGGGGGGGGGGGGGGGGGGGGGGGGGGGGGGGGGGGGGGGGGGGGGGGGGGGGGGGGGGGTGTTAAACTTAAACGAATTTATAACTTTATGCAACAATATTAGTGATTTGGTTTATGGATTTTTCAATTAATTTTTCGATTTTTCAACAGTTGGATATTTTCGATTATATACACATTCCTACCGTGTAAGGTGATGAATTGGTAATTAAAAAAGAATCAAGTTCTCATCATCAATGAAGTAACGTTACCGTAGAATTTATTTTCTTTCGCCATATGGTCTTATAAGAATTATAGATCTAAACGTGGATAAAGAAAATACGAAATGTACATCAACCATAGGAAAGGAAATGAGAAGCTCTAACAAAATTATGATGATGTTTACACCTAGCACGTACCTCTCTATGCCTAGCATTTTCTGCGTTTTCTGCATCAATTTGTTCCTTTATTAGCTTCAAGATTTCTTCTTGGAATCTCTCTTCGAGACCTTCAAAATTCAAATGAGAAGGCTTGTCTTCATATCCTATTTCCATGTCTTCCTCGTGGGCCTGTGGTCCTATCTCTGTATTAACATGGTTTCCAAAATCACTTTTTGAATCCAATACCGGTCTCTGGTGATAAGACTGGATGGAATTGCCTCCTTTTCCTGTTCGGTCATGACAAAAAAAAACAGATTATTGTAACCTGAGGTAATACAGAACATCCACTGCAACTTTCATCAATTATTCACACTTGCATACTGAGCTCCGCTCAACTTTTGAAGTCATACAAAGCATGTAAATCTGCCTCGCCACTCACAAAGTTCCTTGTTACTTCTGAAGAGCCTCCAAATTCTACTGAGATAGTGCATGCCGCTTCATATTTGTATATGAATAACTTGACTTAATCCATCAAATCATAGTCATTTGAAAACTGCCAATTCATCCAAGCTAAATAAACCAACATCTCTTAATTAAGAAATGGCATTTCTGCCTTAAAAGCACAAACAATAAATATAAAATTTCTTAAGCGTAAACAATATTCAATATGGAATAGTCTACATTTAGCAAAGAAAACCTATATCAAAAGTTAAAAGCAATGATAAACCAGAGAACAAAGACATAAAATATTACTTGGGTCAGTGTATGGATGAGTTGGCATCTGTTTTGAATTTGACACTATTGATGCATCTCTATCCCACAGAGATGGACCTCTAGAATTATTTCCTTGCTCTGCAGGTAAAGAATCAATATGTCCTGGAAAATTACTCATTGCAGCATTGTGTTGAAACCTCTGTGCAGGTATCTGCTGCATCTGCGACGGAACACCAGAATTATTTCCATGCTCTGCAGGTAAAGAGTTAAGTCGCCCTGGAAAATTACTCATTGCAGCATTCTGCTGAATTCTCTGTGCAGATATCTGCTGCATCTGCATTTGAGAAGCAGCATATGGATTGGCACTGGCATCAGCATACGAAGCCTGCCTATTCATCATCGCTGTTTAATGGGACGCTAATTTTTTTACTTAACCTAACAACAAAAGAACCAAGGTAATAACAAAATTAGAAATTTAATAATAGGTGGGTATATGAATTATATCGAAAGCATACTCTTTAACAAGGAAAACGTATGTCAGATCTATTTTTTCTATTCTTTCCTTCAGTTTCAGAAGGGGTTCTAACGGTTGAAGAGAGTCATAAAAAATAATCACTATATTGCATAGAAGTTTCAAGCTGGAACGGAACGCATTAGAAACTCAGAAACATTACGAAATCGGAAAACAATTATCGCATTCTCTTTATTTAGACACAAAGATCTTTCTTGAGGAAGCAAAACACCAAAGAAGTTTCATTCCTGAATATATGCACCTATATACATATTCATAACTGCTGATGAAGAAAGGGATCAACATCATATGTCATCAAGGCTTCATTGAAACCATAGGAAGTTCACTAAAAAACTAAGCCCAACCTAAGTATTGGGAGAACAGGACAAAACATTAAACAACACTCAAAATATAGGTTCATGCTGATCCATTTGAGTATTAGAAATGTTGTGAAACAAATCATCAAATTGAGATGTTGAAATTATATGACAAATAATAATGAAATATATGATCAAACAAAAGAATAATAAAGACAAGAATACGACAGATGAATTAAGAGATTTTATTGACTTAATAATAATGGAGAAAGAAAGAAAATTATAATGGATCCTATAATTCTAGTAATCATATATCTCACATTATAAAATTGTATAGAAGAACCTAATATTTATAGGGAACTTTGAAGTAGAATGCCAAAAAACTGAGTCCAAAATGAAAAAAGGAGAGAAAAACGCGAAAAATAGAAAACAGGTCGGTGGGCGCCGCGGTTCTGTCGGGGAATTTTTTTTTTTTTCAAATTGTTTTCTCCATCCCAAACTCTTCTTCAAGTCTAATACTATATTCCAACTCCCAATGGGCTTTCAAAATAGAATTTCAACTTGACATATGACTCAAATAGCATTCCAAATTGAATTTTTCTTGACGTACACTTCAATTAGAATTCTAATTAAAGTGCACGTCAAGAAGAATTCGTCAATTACTTCAACAAAAAAATTGGGCACATCCAAATTCTAACAATCTCCACCTTGACATGAATTCCACCAAGTAATGAACTGGCTTCTTCAACAATAACCAAAAAATTAATTTCTCCAACAAAACACAATACTCCAAATCTTCCACACTACTTTTGTACAATTATCTCAGATTTTCAAAAACCATAATGATTTTATAATTTACCAAGTTGGGTTGTAACACACCCCAAAGTAGAATCAAACCCAAATGTTTTTAAAGAAAGCCCCTTGCTAGATTGTACATCTTCTACTCCACTTAAAGCATACTCAACAAAATTAGCTTCCATATACCTTTTACCACTGGGTCCATCCCTAGCAACTGAATACAATGGCACCATTGGTGATGGTGACAAAGCGGCATTATCCATATATCCTGAACTCCACTGAGCAGTATTCTTCAAATCCTACCCTTTACGAGCTCTTAAAGGTATTGTACCAAACTGAATGTCTACTACGGTACTGAACCTATGCTGATTGACCCTTCTAAATTCTGCATAACCCTGCAAGATGTATAACTGAGATATTTTCTATCCCTCCAATACAACTTGGGCATCCTTACAAACTTTCAAGGCTCCACCTCCACCAAAGAACTCATGACCTTTTGAATCAATGATAGACAATGAGATGAGATTCTTCTTCAAATTCGGAACATGTCGAACGTTGCCAAGTGTTCTAATTATTCCATCCAAAAGTTTCAATCTGATCGACCAATTCCAGTAACCCGACAAGGTGCGTTGTTTTACATAACCACGACACCTTTGGAAACAGTTTCATATGTAGCAAACAAGTCCTTGTTGAACACATATGAAACACACGTTGAATCAAGAATACAATCATCTTCCGATTTAAACTCAATGTCAGAAATAGCTAAGAGATCTCCATCAATGTTCTCTGCGAGGTCTGCTTCGCCTGAAGTATCTGATTGCTTCTCACATGGACTTGCAGCCAACCTTCCTTCATTCTACAATTTGTACCAATCCTTCTTCAAGTGCTCATTTTTCTTACCATAGTTACAAATCTGATGACTGAACTTAGATTTCAATCTGCCCCTTCCAGAACCACCATGACCAACCAGGCATTCTCCATCTCTGGCCTCAGAAATCAGATGCTTCATCTTCTCTTTTGAATACAAAGCATCATACACCTCCTCCATGGTGATAATATCACGACTATACAAGATCGTGTCTCTAAATGAAGAAAACAAAGTGGGCAACAAACACAATAAGATTAAGGTCAAATCTTCTTCATCATACTCTACTTTCAAAGTTTCCAAATTAGCGACGATCTATTTAAATACAGCCAGGTAATCTTCCAATGATTCTCGTTCTGTCATTCGATGAGAGGATAAACACTGCCTGAGGTTTAACTTGCTCGTTAGACTTTTAGTCATGCACAATTGTTCCAACTTCAACCATAAAGCAGCTGCTGAACTCTCCTTCAAAACGTCCTGGAGAATAGTATTTGATAGATGAAGATGAATGTGAGAAATTACCTTCTTATCCTTCCGTAATTTCTCCTCCGCGGTCAAAGTTGTGAACATCTTGTAAATTCCCAGCAACGAATCATCCAAATCCAGCCGTGTGAGTACTACACGCATCTTAACCTGCCATAGCGAAAATCTAGTGCTCCGATCCAAAAACGGAAAGTCGTACTTCATGGAAGTCATCATGAACAACTCAAACCCTGCGATCTTGCGGAACTGCTGAACCTAAACTTTGATACCACTTGCTGTAAAACAAACTACCGGATTGAGATGCTGAACTTATATGACAAATAATAATGAAGTATATAGTCAAGTAAAATAATAATAAAGACAAGAATATGACAGAAGAATTAAGAGATTTTATTGACTTAATAATAATGGAGAAATGAAGAAGATTACAATGGATCCTATAATTCTAGTAATCATATATCTCACATTATAAATTTGTATAAAAGAACCCAATATTTATAGGGAATATGTAGGGGACATCCAAACCCTCTTGGTAGAGTTGATGAAGTAGAATGCCAAAAAAATCGAGTCCAAAATGAGAAAGGAGAGAAAAACGCAGAAAATTGAAAACAGGTCAGGTGAGCGTCACATCCCGGTGCGTACGGGTTATCTGTCCGTGAATTTTTTTTCAAATTGTTTTCTCCATCCCAAACTCTTCTTCAAGTCTAATTCTAATTTCCAACTCCCAATGGACTTCCAAAATAGAACTTTAACTTGACATATGACTCCAATAGCATTCCAAACTAAATTTTTCTTGACGTGCACTTCAATTAAAATTTTTCAATTACTTCAACAAGGAATTCGGGTCACACCCAAATTCTAACAAGAACCAATGTGTATTTTTGTATAGATGTTGGTTGGTAGGTTAGTTAGGAAGTTAGGTAGTTAGTTTGCCAGCTAGATGTTAGTTGTGTCGGCATTTGGCGCCTATTTATGTTGTATATGTACACTCATTTTGTGTGACTTTGAATAATAACAAACAATAGTTTACATTTCGTTTTAGTTTTAATATGGTATCAGAGCATTTTCCTTCCAGCGTTCATCTTCTTATTCTCCTTCTTCTTCTCTAAGTTCTCCTATATCGTTTCTGTTACAATGGAATCAACACAATCCGAAAATGATTCCGATTCGCGATCATCCATGAGCAAAATCCACCATTGATGAGCCATTTAGTCCATATTTCCTTCATCATTCCGATAGTTTTGGATTGGTACTTGTGTCTCAGCTGCTCACAAGAGAAAACTACGTCTCTTGGAGCCGTGCAATGACTAATGCCCTTTCGGTAAAGAAAAAACTTCATGGATCAATGAAAAAACCAGAAGATATGAGACCTAACTTGATCAATTCATGGATTCGTAACAATAATATGGTTATATCCTGGATACTTAATTCAGTTTCAAAGGAAATTTCAGTCGGTATCATCTATGCTTTCATAGCATACGAGATCTAAAATGATCTCAAAGAAAGGTTTCAACAAAGCAATGGACCGCGGATCTTTCAACTGATGAATGATTTGATGAATTTATCTCAAGATCAAAGCAACATAAGTGTGTACTTTACTAAATTGAAGACTACATGGGAAGAATTAAGAATTTTTTTACCCAAATGCAACTGTGGAAAGTGTACTTGCGGTGGTGTTAAAGAAATGGATAAATACAATCAAACGGAATACATCATGTCATCCCTTATGGGCTAAACGAATCTTTCTCTCAAGCTAGAGGTCAAATCCTGCTTATGGATCCTATGCTACCTATTAATAAGGTGTTTGAACTAATTTTGCAAGAAGAGAATCAAAGAAAGTTGAGTACACAATCATGTGGAAATGATGCAAATCGTTCGGCTACATTTGCATTAAGATTAGACAGCGCAAAATTAGCCCCAATTCTGGTTTTCGCAGTGATGGTTCTAAGATTGGTAACTTTGGAAATGTCAAGAAGAAGGAGAAATCCTATTGTGCTCATTGTAAGTACCATGGACATTCAGTGGATAAGTGCTATAAAATCCATGGATATCCACAAGGATACAAGCCAAAATCAAAGGACAATTTCCAAAGCTATTATGTTCCTAACTCGGTTAATCAGTTGTTAGCTTCTCATCAGATTGATCAACAACCTGGCATCGAGAATTTCATGCAAAATCTGGATTCCAGTCATTATCATCAATTGATGACTATGCTGTCCAGCCACTTAACTTCAAGCTCGAACACTGCTTTAATTGATCAGGACAAACATACCACTTTAGGTGCTGCAATTACATGTCATTCCATATCATTTAACCCTATCTTTACTATTAAAGAGATTTGGACAGTAGACTCAAGGGCTACTAGACATGTATGCTCCATTGCTAATGCCTTTATGAAATTGAAAGCAGTTGATAATGCAAGT